GGCAGCGCTGGGAAACAGGGCTACACTGAAAAATACTCCTGTGCTCCTATTGTCTGCACTACCTGGAGCTGTGATGAGAAGTCTCAGTCTTCCTGGTCCCATCCTCCCACCACTTACAACCTCTGCAGCTTCCATATTTTGCTCCCGGAAGAAAGATGTGACTTTCTGCCCTACAGTGAGCAACACTGTCATATGTGGGCTTCCTTATCCAAATATTACCATCAACACAATCCTCAAAAAACCTCCAGCCACTTATTTTCATGATTCAAAGTCTGTGTAAAACCAAGAGACTGCATTATCTGACATCCACAAACTAAAACTCCAAGCCGCATCCTGACTTTTTTTTTCTCTATTACTGAATCAGCAGCAACAGGCACATTCTGTTAATAATTTTGATGGCAGGGTCTCACACTCCTTCCCTATCAACAACTCCCATTTCAAACTGCTCACTTCAAAGTCAAGAGGATTCTTCTCAGTATCAGAACTTCAAACTGTTTTCTGGGCTGTTGGCACAGTCACTGAAAACATTTTGTCCTGTAAATCAACAAGGCTGCAGAAGAAAACCCTGGTATGAGCTCCGGGAGGACAACAGGAATAAGTCTGAGTCACAAAATGAGCAGCTACCAAATCCAGACAATATCTTCTTGTCAATGTGTATGATTGCAATTGTAATCATGCTCTAAATATGAACACATCAAAAGCACCGTGACCTTTCTACTATGAAATTACTTTGAAATATTTTAGGGCTTGAACATTTTGGTTTTAAAGCTAACTCACAATCTGCCTCAAAAGGCTGCTTGTAAGTGAAAAAAAACCAACTAAGATTGTTTAGAACACGTTGAAAAAAAACAAAAAAAAGTTTGCTGCCTTGAAAACTGCACAGATCCAAGTGTTTGAGATACCTCCCCTTTGCTAAACTTAGCCCTTCCGTGACCCTCAGGGAGGAATGCAGGACCTGTCTACGTTATCGAGTTTATAAGGATTAAACTTTAGCATAAACAACAGATCATTTCTGAACTTCACTCTAAAAGCTAAATTCCTGACTATTTCTCAATGCTACTCTTCTGTGTTCCTCTCTCTTCGTTCCCCTTTTTTCTTCATGTTTGGTGAATGTGGGACTATTAGATTCCTGACCACAAATTACTTCTCCCGCTCACTAAGAGCTTGCCACTCAAACTGCTGACAAGTCCTCCCACATTTTTCCACCTTTGCGTCTGAGCACATCAGTACACTTTCCTGAATATTTCCCATATTGCTCATTAAAATAATTGGGGTTTGCGTGTGTTTGTCAGGAGGAAAATAAAACTCAGTAAGAAAGATTTTCTTTCTCAAATATATTATTTAAAATATAATTTGTTTGTTCTACTTGTTTCAGCATTTAAATTAGATTTAAGGATCAGAATGTTGCAGATTTAGCATTTAAACAACAGTATTGATGCTCCTATAGGGCTTGTGGCAACAAAAACCAGCAGTAAGGCTATTATTCACTGAAGATTTCTTTTTCTGGGCTACAGCTTTTCAAGTTCAGACTCATCAGTTGAAGTGAGGGAAAAATCCCTTTAGCTATTTTTGTTACAGGAAAATAATACTTCACCACTAGCTCGGGGGGGGGGGTGGGGGGGTGGGGTGGGGAGGGGGGGGAAGGGGCACGATGAACCAGAACCTCCTGATTTGTCCTGCAGATCATCCTTCAAGACAAAGAGCATCTTTGCTAATTATAGAAGAAAAAAAAATTTAAACTAGGAGCAGTTGAAAAACTGTTTCTCAGCATGCTCAGTGGGCATTAGCTGCGATTTCAGCAGCTTAGCAAGTCCCACCCCTGTGTGAGCTCAGCAGGGAGGCCTGGAGCACTGCACATTCTCCCTGCTCAGCAGGGACAGGGGCCGCAGCTCAGCTGATTTGCTACAGGAATACTGGAAAATTGCCACCAAAAAAGCAAATCCCGTGGAAAAAAAATACAAGAACCCCCCAGCAACTTCAATAAGGAATTAAGAGGAAAAAGTGGAAAAAAAAAAAAATCTCAGCTCCCACAGTTTCAAGATGTTGAACTCTCGCTGCATTATGGTCTGGGGCTTTTTCCATGATCAAAATAAGCAAAAGGTTTAGGTTAAGCCAGATTTATACAAACCCGGCCCTAACAATGTAAGTGCAAACTTACTGTGCGCTAACTCTTCCCACAAGTCCGTCATGGGAGCCAAGGACTGGCTGTAGAATCTGTAACAGCTGTAATATCCACAGCTATTTTTCTTTTAATTTGGAAGAGGAAAAAAAAACTAAATAGACAAGTAAAATGCAACAAAGTCTTTATTTTAAAATCAAACAGCAGCTTAAGTTTCATAGGGGCAACTGAGACTTAACAGCTCACATGCTCTACATTTAAGCACACGTTTAATGCTTTCAACCGAAGCAACTACTACTACATGTTGTACAAATAAAGAACACTTTGCCTATTGCAATCTCTCTCATACACTGCACATAACACAAGATTACATTGAGAAAATTTCAGAGTTACACACACAAGCAGCACCGGAGTAAAAACACAAATGTGCTTTTGTAATACAGCAGTAATGCCATGAGAACAATGATTTTTGAATTTTCAAACCTCTGAACACTCATTATGTTTGTTTTAGTATTGCCAGAATAGATAGAAACATTTTTATCTCATCATATCATTCAATACAAGTTTGTAAAAGTCTGCTCATCCAAAATGGGAGAAAGCATAGACTAATAAGTTACATGGCTGGGACATCACACATTCAATTTTCCCTTGCACACTTTGCACCTGGAAGTTTGAATTAAAAGTGTTGGGTGGTTTTTTTTTTTACTTCAGGGAACATTTGGAAAATTTAAATCAATGATTGCTAGTCGGTTTTATCCCCCCAGAAAAAGAGCACAAACTTTTGCATGTTCTAAGATGCCAGTTCAACACCGTCTCTTTTCTGCATGTTTTTTCAACTTTGACCTGTTAGTTTTCAAAATAAGATCTGGCTGTAACTGGGCCTCTTTCTAAAAAGCGATTTAAATGTACATGGGATTTCATCACCCCACCTTGCAGTGGGGAAATCGCAGACAACATTAGCTAAGGAATATTACTTTCAGGTCACTTGGGATATGACAGTAAAACGAAGAGCCAGGGCCTTGTCAAAGCGGTGCCAGTTATCCAGCAGAATGTGAGGCAGCAGACAAATTCCCCATTATAACATACAGAGAGACTGTAAACAACCTACAGAGAGACTGTAAACAAAGACTAAGGGGCCATGAAGATCACTTTCTGTATTTCATTAAACCGAGGAGCTAGTTTTCACACTCACAAAATCCAGAGTTCACTACTGTTATATCGCTTCATGTTAGGCAGCAAATGACACCTTCAGCCCCAAAGACTGAAGCATTTTAGGAGTTAGAAGTTGCTCACCTCACCCTGTGAAACAATTTGGGTGCTACAGATCCTCAAATATAAAAGCTACTCAGAGTCTGGCATTTACCACATGATTGCTGCCAGTCAAGCGGATTTAAGGGCATATTTTAATCTCTCTCACATTATTCTGTCCTGGAATTTTTGCTTCAAGCTCACAGTAATTCTGAGTTGGGTAACCCGGGCCAGGGCAAGGGGCTCCCCATGATAGGTGTTAGTTTACAGAGATGGCAGTGTTTTCTAATGCTAATGTATTCCCATGCTGCATACCTCAACTAACAGTTTCACCTCTAACAAACTGCACTGAAATATGCTGATAGCTCCAGCTCAACAACACAATATCATACAGACAGTGGCCAGTGCCAAATGGTTAGTTAAGCAGATAAGAAAGGCACTCATTCTTCTTTAAAAAAAAAAAAAAAAAAAAGGAAGCTATTGCAGTCAGGCAGACAGAGTGTGGATGGGAGCTGGCAGATTCCACAATACAGAGTCACGTCAAAAATGGCCTCCTGCAAACTGTTCCTTCATCAAGCATTTGAGTCAACCGAAAGGGAGGAATCTTTCCCATTATTCACAGGAGTTTCACCTTCCTATTCCACAGCAGAGCACCATTTTCTGTACATTTTGAGATACAAGCATATAAGAAGCACAGAGAATAGATTTCACTAAGCAGCAGAGGGAAACTCTTCTCCCCACTTTCTGTTTCCAGTCCCAAAGTTGAGCCTGGCCTTTATTTTGACTGTTCCCTGGTCTGTGAATGGAAAATCCCTCCTCAGCACTAGCAGGCTGGTGTCTGCTGCACACACCCACTGCACACAGCAGAAATTCCAGTCAATAAGGCAAGTGGGGCCCAGGCGATGGAAGGGGAGGAAGGAGACATACAAACAATAAGAAAAGCATCTGGCTCTGTTACTGGCTGAGAAGGAGGCTGGAGTTCAAAAGAGACACGACTGCAGCCTTCACTTCACAGGAAGATCATATCAATTCTCGCTGTCCTACTTTTCACACAGACCAAAATATGTGGAAAGGGTAACTTGGGGTTTTCAGCCCACACTTTAATGCAATTCCATCAACTCCAGAACAGCGACAAAACCCACCTTGGAGGTTTTTGTCCCACCAGACCAAAATATACCCCTGCTTCTGCTTTGGGCCTGTGGAAACGGCCTGAAAAGTAAAGCCCTTTGCTGAACGTGAGCCAGCCATCCCTCCACCACCACACTAATGGAGGCTGCTCTGCTGTCCTTCCCTGGAGATAGCAGCCAAGTCTAGTGAAGCTTCTCTCATAGCAACCAGAGCTCCACAGCCAACAGCAGCTGCTGTCACTGCCTTCAACGCTTACCCACAGGATCCAGAGCACAGCAACACCCTCCTCCCTGCACCTCTACAGCAAAAAAAAACCCCAGAAGGCTGGCGACAAGATGACTTCCTAGGTCAACCACAAGAAGCAGAAAAAAAGAAATCCTAGTATTTCCTATACAAGTGAAAAGAGGAATCTCTGATTACTGAAGAAATAAGAAATTCCTTTTCTGGATTTGGGTTTCTGGCAGCAACACCCAGCCGGGGTGGGGGCAGCCGCCTGAAATCCGTGATGTACCAGCACACCAACGTCAAGTTCTACGAGGCTCAGCTGCATCCTTCACCCAAGGAGAGGGATTCGCCCCCTCGCCCCCGCCGTGCCCCCAGCGCTCCCATTACATCATGGCCCGAGCCCGCAGCAGCCACCGCAGCCCTGCAGCGCCCCGTGCCCTCTCCAGACCCGCAGAACACCACGCTCACCCCCCTAAAGAGAACCCCCAGCATCTCAGCTGGTGTCGGAGGAGCGCGGGGACACGGCCGGGAAGAGGCTGCGAACCCCCCTCGCTGCGACACCCGTTTCCCCGCTCCCCCCGGGCCACACGCGGCCTCGCCGCCCTCCCTGCCCCCGGCACGGCCAGACGGTGCTCGGCGCCGCTTCCCCGCCCGTCCCGGCGGTGAACTCCGGTCACCGGCACCCAAGGACGAGCCGCCGGCCGGCAGTGACCTTGCCGGTGCCGGCGGGGGTGGGAGGTGGCCGGGGCGAGGGCAGGGCGGCGGGGAACCCCCCCCGCACCCCGCGGTGACGGGCGAGGAAATGCGGGAGAATCCGCGCTGCAGCCGCCGGCGCCGGGAGCGCCGAGTTACGGGGGAAAGGCGCCGCGCGGGCACCATGAGAAAGCAGAAAATGCAGGTCAAACGCCGCCTCCCCCGAGACCCGGAGGGGCCGGCGGTGGGGGCGGGCAGCGGCGGCCCGGAGGGGGCTGCCCCTGGCCGGACAACGACCCCCGCGGCCCCGCGGGACAATGAGGGGACGAGGGGGCGCGGTGGAGGCCGGGCTGCAGCGGGGCTTCCCCAGGCTCGCCTCCACCGACAAAGCCCCGCGGCCACCCCAGCCCCGGCCCTACACCGGCCCCGCACCGGCCCCCAGCAGCCCGAGCCCGCGCTCCGCCGGGCCCGCCATGATGTCCGCGCACCGCGCCGGGCCGGGTCAGCCCGGGACGGGCCTCCGGGGGCACGGCGGGGCGCTGCCGCCCAGGGCGCCGAGGCAGCGCAGAGCGCCGAGCGGAGCGCGGAGCTACGGCCCGCGCCGGGAGCCCCCCGCGACCGCCTGCCCCGCCGCCCACCCCGGCGTTCCCTCCCCGCCGCCGGGCACGGCCGGTTCCCGCCCACCCGCGCCTACCTGGCCGGCCCGTTCCCCGGGCCCCTACGCGGCACCAGGCCCGGCTCGGCGCCACGGCGTGTCCCGGGCAGCCGGCGGCAGCGAGCGCTCGGCCGCGGCGGCGGCGGCCCCTCCCCCGGCGGCGGCGGCGGCTTCTCCCCGGGCCGGGCGGAAACGGCACTGGGCGCACGGGGATCCCCTGCGCCGGCGCCAGGGGCGCCCCGGCCACGCCCACCCCGTTCCCCGTTGGCTGCCGCGGCGCCGCGCCCCGCCCCGCCAGGGCGCCCTCCTTCGTCACCGCCCCTCCCGCCCTCCTTCGCTATTGGCGATCCGCCCGCGCGGCTCCGCCCACGCCGCAGCCTCATTGGGCGCTGCACGCCGGCCCCGCCGCTCGTCCCACGGTCGCGGCGCCCCATTGGCGTGCGGGGCCGCCCGTCAGGCGCGGGGTGGGCGGTGGGGGGCGGCCGCCGCCGGAGCCGACGCGGGGCGGGGCGTGCGGGCTGCGGCAGCGCCCGGCGGGCGAGCCGCGCTACGTGCCGAGGGGCGGGGCCGGCGGGGCGCGAGCGCGGCGCGCGGGGCGACTCCCGCGTCGGGACACGTGGCAGAACGAAGGGGCGGTGCGGGGGGCGGCCGGGAGGGCTGGGGAGGAGGACGCGGGGCGCATGCGCGGTGTCGCCGCGCGCGGGGCCTGCCGCGCGGCACGTCCGCGCGCGGGGGGCGGGGGTCCCGGCGAGGGGTCCCGGGGGCAGCGCCCGGGGCCGCGACCGGGACCCGCCCCGCCCGGGCCGGGGCGGCGGGGCCAGCGCACCCACAGCCGGCCGGACCCCGTCCCAGGAGCCCCGAACAAAGGCCGCGGGGGCCGTGAGGCGGAGGGGCGGCCCCTCGGCGGGAGGAGGGGCCCCGCGGCGCTCTCTGCCCGCGCTCGGCCGGGGGGCTCCGCCCGGTGCCGGTGCGCGGAGGGAGCGCTGTGTGCCGTCCGTAGCGCTGCAGGGACGCGAGAGGAAGAGAGTGGAGCCCGGGCGCGGCGGGATAACGCTGGGGATGCTCAGCCGGGGCCGCTCGAAGGAGGCCGCGCACCGGGGGCGGCGGGAGGGCAGCAGCTCCCGCCGTGGCCTCGCCGCCCCCGCGGGAGGGCGGTCTGGCCCCCGCCGGCAGGCCCGGTCACGGCGCGGTGATCCAGGCGTGCCGCAGGCTCTGCGCGGCGCTGGCGCGGCGCTCGGGCGCGTAGTGCAGCGCGGGCAGCAGGAAGGCGGCGAAGGCGGCCGCCGCCCGCGGGGTCCAGCCGTGCCGGTCCGCCAGGGTGCCGGGGAGGCTGCGGGGGCAGAGCCGGGAGAACCGCAGGAGCGCGCCTGGCGGAGACAGCGCGGGCGCGGCGCCTCAGTCACACCGGCGCGGCTGAGGTGGCCGCACCTCGGCATTAACCCAAAGCGCCCTGAGAGATCCCTGCCTGCGCCTTGGAGTCGCCTCTGTGAGCTCCACGTGCGCTGCCCCTTGCAGGTTTGGCTCTCGGGTCTTTCTTGGGAATCGTCTTCCCAAGCTAGTGTTTGGAGGCTCCCCGTTCCCGAGCGCTTCCTAGGCGAGAACATGCCAAGAGTGTGCAAAGTATTCCCAGAATAGCCCTGCCAGAGCCATTGCTGCTTGTTCCCTGGGCCTGCCCACAGGCACCCGGATGCATCTGGCTATTTCAGAGCTCACAAGACACTAATGTTGAATTCGCTTCCCGTTTACGAGCTCGGTGGGGCCTGGAAAGAGTGTACGACTGACCGAGGAGCTGCCCTCGTCCCCAGGAGCCCGTGGTGTAAATGCAGGGATTCAGGTTAAACGTGTGTGGTCAGGCCAGGTTGGTTCATGTGGAGAGTGAACATAGAACTAGTTCTGACTCATTTCTTTTGGGTACCATAGAATGAATAAGTGTGAGCAAAGCGTGTGGATGTGCAGGGAGGTGCTTGTTGGATTCCAGCATGGCACCAGCACTCAGCACTGAATGAGCTGTTGGTAGGCTGAGGCTATGGGACTCAGTGAGTGTGAAAGCAGAGAAAGGATTATAGCCCAAAGTGCAGAAGGATGGAGTCATGTGATGTGGTGTAGTCAAAGACAAGAATTTCAAGACTGATGAGTCAAAGGGAAAGAAAGCGGGGAGAATAAAACAAAAAAGATGTTACAGTTGGGTCAGAAGACTAAATATAGCAGCCATGCTGGAAGGATGTGAGTGTCCCATCCCTGGTCATCATTGTTCTCTGCCAGTGAACGGGTGAAATCCAGCCAGTTACACACTCTTCAGCCTTCCTGGTGCGTAGCTGTTTCCTGCCTGTATTTCCATTCTCTCCAAATCCAAAGGAGAAAGAATGGAATTGTTTTCCCTGTTGGGTGTTTGCTGTAACTTTTTCAGGATTTTGTATTCATCCCTGGAATGCTCATGGGTTGCAGAGGTAGGCAGGGCAGGGAGTGTTACTGCTCTTTATGAAATCTCTGTCTTGTGTAATGTAACATTTGGGGTGTTTCAGTGTGAGCTGAGTAGGAGTGTGTCAGAGATCCACTGTGATTTTTAAAGTAAACTTCCTTACTCTTGTTCTTACCTGGCCTGCTGAAAAATTTTGTTGACTTGTTCCATGAGAAAGCAATTTGAGGAGGAATTCTTCCCAGGAGTTCGATAATACGAGCAACATGATCTAGACAGAAGAGGGAAAACACATCTAGATACAATAGTTGTGACACTTCTGTCAGTGAAATGAATAAAACTGATGGAGTCCTACCATCATCTCTGGAGAAATATTTCCCAGGTTGAGGATCAAATAGACACTCCCCAGTTGCCATTTCAAATGCCTAGAAATGGAGTAGCATTGTTAATTGACTAACTGTTTTGGAGTTTTTCTTCCCTGCTAACTAATAGTACCGATTTCCCTTGCAATCACACAAACCTGATCCTAAAATATGGAAATACACTGGCACACTGGCTTGATGTCTACCACAGTGAAACAGCACCTTTAGCTCTGTCAGGATGAAAAGCAGCATGTGCCTGATTCAGTCTGACATACACAGAGTGTGAATTGCCTTAGAGCTTAAACTAATTAGGAGTGGTTTTTATCAGCAGCACGCTTTCGGCCCAAAGCGAACGAGTGCAGACAGCCCCTTTTGCCTTCTCAGCAAGGAAGCTTTGCTTTACATGAAAAGGTGGGTACCAAGGACATACTGCCCTGACCAGTTAGTGTCTGTCACCTCCTTGCTTGCACAGCATTGTCCCCAGTCCTACCAGGCAGGCTGTGCTCCAGATATCCGCAGGAGTGCCATAGTCTAATCCAAGAAGCACTTCCAGGGCACGGTATGGCTGGGTCTGTATCTCCTTGGAGAAGGGCTTGTACTGAAACAGAAACAAACTCCCTTTGGTTGGCGTCCCTAAGCCAGTCAGAGAGCACTGGTCGTCACAAGCTTCCCGCACAAGGAGGGGACACAGGACAGGACTGAACATGTGTTCTCAGCTCTGCAAAGGGCACAGCCAACACATTCCCAGCCCCACTGACACCAGAGGGAGTCTACCTCCCAACATTTCTCACTGAACATAGTTTTGAATTTCTAATTGCAGGGATTGAGTGCAAACTGGAGAAATGTCCAAAGTTGACAGTGTCTTTGGGAGCACAGGGCCCAGCTCAGAGCTGGGAGTGCTGAATATAGCACCTCCCGAAGCTGGCATCTCTTCAGCACACTGAAATAGCTATTCAGCTGTAATGGGATGGACATGCAGGGTGGGATGGAAAGGAGCACGCAGCCTCCAGGGTTGTTACAGGATTGAGACTTGGAGCAGACTCACTGTCCAGCATGCGCTGCCTAGATCTGCAATTTTCACTTCTATGCTCATTAAATCAGATTCTTCCAACTGATTGCCAGGATCACCTCCTAGATGAAAAGAACAGAGAGAAGTCATGTCTTTCCAAACCAACAAGTACACATCACTTACCATAGGAGAGGTGTGTCTGCCTACCTTTAAAGTTTCTCAGCCTAAAAGGTCCTAAAATGCTTTTTATCATCAATCAAAGGCCACCTCTGGTTTTTGAGGAAATGCAAAGGAAGCACTGATATTCAGTGAAAACAAGAGGATGTTTGGGAAGATGGTAGCTTGGAGTTGAACAGTGTGATGTGCTCCTGTCCTGCTGCAAGGTTCCTCTAGCACCAAGGTTAAATTACTGTGGGCCCAGAGGAGAGCACATCCTACCAGCACTAGTCTGAACCAAAACATCTGTAATTCCTCTTCAGCCTTCAGCAGCGTGGCTCTCACAGACCGTGGACACAGCCTGCTTGGCAAGCACCGTGAAGGTTACATTTTCATATGACCCTAGGAAACAGTAATTCCTCCTTTAGCACTTTACAGTGAGCTGTCAGCCTATGCCTAATACTGTGCTTTTCTGCTCTGAGCAAAAGACTCAGTCACTAATTTAGGATTCCCTGATTGCCTCAGAGTTTGAGAGACAAAACAGCACTGTCATGGGAGAAATGCTCATGGGAGAACACAGTGCAGGGATAATATGAAAGGTCTCATGGCTGGGAGATGAGCTAATCTCTTGAGAAATGCTCCAGCCCTACATCTTATTCAATATTCACACCATTCTCTGCAAATAAATTATGTCTCAAAAGGCCTTGAAGATTAGCAGTACGTACAAGTCTCCCACAAACCTAAGAAATATGGGAAATAAAGAGCAGAAGTGTCACACAGCTTTCTGATCAAACCATTTTGTATGCAAACCTTTCAGTGGCTGAAAACATCGGACACGGGGAACTGTCCCTGTCCGGACACAGGGAACTTAAAGCCAACAAGAGTGAGCTCCGATGCTGCAGGGGGGGGGCTGTTGACAGATACATGTGACCAGTTTTTCTCCACACAGACTCACCTGCAAGACCACATTTCTGTTGGTGCCTTGGGTAGTCGTTCAGCCTGATGTTTGTCTTAGGCAGAGATAGGAGAGGCCTCTCAGCAGCCCAAGCTGGCTGTAGTATTTTGTACTGGCTGTTGCAGGAGATGGGAACCTTTCCTGAGGTATCCGTAGCTGCTGCCTCTGTTTCCCTCCCAGCAATAAACATGTAAGTCCCTCTTCTTGCTGCAAACCCCCTGGAGTGCTCACCTGCTCCCTTCAGCTTCACATGTGTTCTCTGGCCACAGTCAAGCGTATCCATGAGAAGCCTTTGGAGGCTTTTGTCGTGTCCATACAGTAGGATATTCTCCGGTTTGATGTCCGCGTGGATGATGCGGCAGCGCTTGTGCAGGAAGTACAGCCCTGTCAGCACCTGGGAGAGCAGGGAGCACGTCACACCGGCCACACGAGGGGTCCCACCAACCCCCCCTGCCCCAGCAGCTCTCAGAGCAGCCAGGCACAGCGGGTAGGGTAGTTGTGGGCATTCTGGTACTGACGATAACTATCAGCCGTAAGTTATTTCCTGCTGGGGTGGCCCTGTGGGAGCAGGTTCCAGGGGTTCCATTGCACAACACAGCAGGAGGAGCAGGTGCCAGAGCCCCACGTGCCCAGCGGGGGCCTGGGGAGCCCGGGGGGACAGGGCTGTTTGGGGTGACACGCAGCAAAAGGCAGCGCGAAAATCCACAGACACCACCATGGGTGGGCAAGCCCGGTGAGATGGGAGGAGGGTGGGGCAATGAGGAGGCATTACAGTAATGGAGCTGAACTTTCTTCTGAAAAATCATTCCTGCTTGTACAGCTGTTATGGCCTAGGACCACTGTGCCTTCCTGCTGATTATAACCAGCCCCCAACTTCCATCTGAATGACAGTGACATGGCATGGGAGGGTGTCCCATCATACAAGGAAAGAAGGAGGCACAGCGTAACCCAGACAGGAGGTGGGAGAGACCATGAGTGAGTGCTTAGAGAGGATTTCAGGGCCCTGCAGGAGAACCATGTAGGGAAAGAACAGCCTACGATGGAGCAGGGAAAGCCTGGCCTGTCACGGGGGAGAGATAAACAACACCTACCAGAGAAGAACAGTCACTATCAGAAATCAATAACAGCAGAAATGCTACAGGGAGAGTTACAT